TTGAAACATTGAAAGGGGCTAGAGCCCTCTAATAACTTTCTGGTGGAAAAAGTCTACCCCAAAGGCTTTTGTCAATGCATATATTTCATAATCAATATTTCTACCTCAAATTTATTCACAGTTCTGATATATTAACCACATGCATGCATATTGCCCAATCCTGCTTGCATGGCTCTCATGATTAGCAACTGGGACTCTCATTTAAAAGGCTCATATGAGTACAGACTCAATTGGATTTCAGTCAGCTCAAGTACTATCATAAAAATCTCTTAATGATGAGCCCTCCCAGAAGCATAGCATCACCAGTCACTAGTCTTTATCCACAAATTTTTGTCTGACAGACTCATTTGAGATCTCTATAATTGAATCCCTCAGCAAGTTCTTTTAACCCTTGAGCTCCTGAGCGATGAACATATAATTTCTCCTTAACATGTCACCCTTGAATGAAATTTAAAGGTCATGAGAATATAGGAAATGATCACAAGTTTAGGTGTTGATTGTCACACAAATTCTCCTTGTCATTACCAAAGGAAATGAAAAGAGAACAGTGGGGAGAATTTTAATACTAATGTTCGGGTGTATGTAAAGGGTTAAAGGGGTTAAACTCAACCAAAGAAGTAGATATTTCTGTTATTTCCTTATCTTGTTTGATAAGAGGTTAATTGAGGGCAAAATTATCTTGATGAGCTAAAACACTTTACATACAATTAAACAAACCCCTATATAATGAAAACCTCAGTATAATGAAAGATACTTCAGTTTCAGCCAGGCTAAAGTTACAGTAAAATGTATGCCACAGAACCTTGATATGACGAACCCTCGATATAAAAAACCAATTTCCCCAGCCCCTTGGCACTTCGTTAAATCGAGGTTGCACTGTAATTGAAATACGAGACAATCACTAAACATTCTACTAAAATTAATAAGTTATTTTTTGGTATTTTATTATATTAGGGATCCATTTTTTAAAACTTTGTGTTCACAACATAAGTTAATCTATTTACAATTTTTAAATGGAATGACATCCAAGAGGAAAAAAAGCGAAATAAAACCACGCGTTTAAAAATGTGTCTGTTTCAGTCTAAATACAATCTGGGCACGATGTCGTAACTGTACAATAATTAACACTTTTTCATAAATAAAACTCTCTCTTTAACAAGTAAGAAATCCCACTGATCTTGCACAGTGTAAGCACTCAATTAATCTGGTGGAAATAAATCACAAAGGAAACGAAAACGAGAGGAACGTTATCGCCAACCGTTTCGTGTCAACTGTGTACATTTCACGGAGAAACAACAGACGTAAACTCAAGAACTTAGCAAATACCTTATCGGTTTGGCAAATGCCGCTAGAAACGGTCAAGTTCTCGTTTATCAGTTTTAGAGTCTGGTGAATATTCTGATCAGACAAAAGAGAAATACGTTGTGCAACCGAAGAAGCGACGAAGGAAGTCATCAACGCGTCAAGTGATCTATACATTTGAAATCTGATTACCCATTTCCTACCGCATATTCCCGAAGGATCATGACTCGAAAGCTAAATTCTGCTTGTTTCGTTCTTCTTTGCTGAGAAATTAGTCAGTACGGCTGTGAAGTCCCATCTATAAAACTCAAAAGCCGAAGAAACATAATTCTCAGTCTACATAAGAGAAATAAACGGATGGTAACCCATTTAGGCAACAGCTGGTTCGTGTCTTGAAGACTACAGAGAGCCCCTTTGGGAAAAGAAATGTACACGAAATTAAGTTACCCCAACTTTCGACTCCACAATCTTTCAAAACAACTTCCTTGTTTTCACGCCATATTTTCAAGTTCCTGTGGTAAAGAATGCTTTGGCCCGGTCGGATGTTGCGTTAGTATGTGGTGTCGAAGGCCACTTGGGCTTTTGTAGCTTTTCCCACAATGGCATTTATGAGCTTTCAGCTTTGGTCGGCTCGAGTCTTTCCTGTGGCCATACTTGGCATGGTATTTTATTCCGTTAACATTCTTGTATCGTTTTCCGCACCCAGGAACTGGACAAATATATCGTTTCCCTTCGCCATCATCTGTTGCCACGGCGTTCAATACCAGGTCGCTGGCAAAACTATCAGAAGTCCAAGAATCGTCGCTATTGTCACTCAAATTGCCATCTTCCTCTCCCCCGTCAAGCGTATCTGGTGTATTCAGTGTCGGAATAGGTATTTTAGGAGGGGTTGTTCTCTTCTTTTTTATTACATTGTGGTCTGGGCTTGGCGTGACTGGTTCTGTAGCAGTCAAAACAGGGTCTTTCTGTTTGGCATTGCGTGCTGCATCGGTGAAGAAGCAGTTGATGTACGATAGAGGTAGCGCCGTCGGCTGAGCAGCCTCTTGTTTCTCGAGAACTCTGGGGTCTTTTTCGATATGGACGACTTCGATATGGTCGATTAGATCTAACAAGGAAGTGCACTGCTTACCACAACCGTGCCATAGGCAAGAGTATCGGTAAAAGGCAGCCATTTTTTGCAGCTTGCCTCTGTTTCGACAAGTCGCGCCATTACATCATCGCGAAGCTTTTCAAACCGTTTTGACGTCACAGCAGCTATATTGCGCAAATCATGTTTTCTCCAGATGGTTCTCGCAAAACACGTGGGGCGCACGTGGCGGAAAGCAAAACTCATGACAACAGGTGTATTTGGAGCTAGTAATTATTTACAGACAAAAGATCGATTTGCCATCACATAAATTTAAATAATGAGTTTTGTCATCAAGTAACCAACTCTCTAGTTCTTCCACTTTTCCTCAATGGAACTTTTCTTCAAACTTCTGCCTATAGTTTTGGGAGCCGTAAATTTTTATTATCAAAGAACGAAGTTCCACCGCTGAAAACCTCTGGTAAAACTTCAATATGTGACATAAAGAAAAGAAAAGAATAAAAACACAAACGTAAATTTGAATTTAATTATCTTTCTAAGCAGGTGGCGTTTCCTTTCTTTATTTAGGAACAAGCGGTACTACCCTCTCTAACTTGAAAACCTTTCTTTTTGCAGAGGTTGGGAGGACTTTGTATTCCTTGTCATGGGGAAATTCAAGGTGTAATAAACCTTTTAACATTTTTGATGGATTAAAATCCAGTTATTGCCAACAACATGTCACGTTACCAGACAATGTTTACACAACTTCCGTATGGCAGTTGTTTGTTGCGTTCTTGGGGAACACACTTTTTTCTTACCAGGCCTCTCTCCTCTCGGGAGAATAAATGAGTACCAGTGAACTGTCAGGTGGAACTTGAAAAAGTGCTGGGGGGGGGGAGAGAGTGTAACCCACCATGGACTAACATCCCATGGGGTAAGGAAGCTTGGAAAAGCCCTTGCAATTGTGTGAGTTGATGTTGCATGCAGACCTCTCCTTATTTTGCTTCATGTTGAGCAGCAAGGCCAGTTGCAAATTTGAAATCTGATTAAAATTCTGAACTCAAGCCAGGTGATACACACTGTAGGATTTTATCTCAGTTTTCATAGCATGAAGTGAACAGGGGTATAGCTACACCCCCTGGAAAAAATACTAGTCCATTGCATGTTGGGGCCTCTGTGTTTTGTCAGGTTTCAATAAAACTTTTCCGATACCCATTCATACTCCTGGGTGGAGAGGGGCACTGTGATAAAAAAAGTCTTGCCAATAAAACAAAGCAAAACCAAGCCTAAAAACAAGACCTCAATGATGCTAGACTGCAGAACAGGTGAGCATGAAAGGTGAGTCAGGCACATAAGGATGAATACAAAAAGTAATTTATTTAGTCCATTTTGGTGCATTCCCTTCCTTGTCATGACTAGTGCTTGCCTCGCCCTTCCCTTTGTTTACCTGAAAAATGCCTAAAAAATAATGTCTGTTTTGCAGGCTGCAATAATTCATGGGATTCAAACTAGGATTAGCGATCAGTGCTGGTCATATGTCAACCTTGAACAACCATACAGTATCAAATAGTCACATTTTTTTATTGAAAATGTTTTTTAACGCAGATTTCAGCAGGTCTGAGTGAAAATAGATAGTTTTGTACTCCTTTGAATGACAAAACAGAATTATCATTAAACGAAATCCTTGAGGTACTCCCTGTTTTGTACTTCTTCAAGAGACTAAACTGAGTTACTGGTATTACTAAAAGAAAAATCTTTCACAGACATCCCATGCTTTGTACTTCTTATGTTCTGTACTTCTTTCAGTGACAAAACAGAATTATTACTGTAAGAAATCTTCAATAGACATCTCACACTTTTGCACAACCGAGCATCCTTGTGAGCAAAAGTTTAACTCCCTTGAACTCTGTACCATAAATAATAAATAATGAAACAATGCAGTTGACAGTATGACTGCTGAACATACCCCACCACTGCTTCTATTCACCAAAATTTTTTATCAACTATTAGTCCTAGCTTGGAGAGCTGACAGCTCCTTCGAAGGCTGGCCCAACTTGGCCCCAGCACCAGTATTCATGAAGTTTTTCTGAAACTATGTACTCTGTCACTGATGCTCAATGGATCTCTGTCATCTTAATAATGTATCAGAGCTTTTTTGTGTACAGGTTAGCTGAGGTCTGAAATAATTTTTGTACTCTGATACCAAGTCTTGATTAAACACTTTTGTTTCAACTGCCAAATGGTATACTTTGGTCACAAAAACTTGTGATTTGTAAAGTTTTCAAAGGACAGAGAAATAAAAGAGGTGCAGTCCTAGAAATGCTTTTCTACTTAAAACATACTAGTTCCTTTTCATCATCAGTTCATGATTGTTAAACAAATTCTCCTTGTCAGCACCTTAGGAAATGCACAGAGAACAATCTCAAGAATATGTATTCTGATGAAAAAGTGTAAAGAGTTAAACAGTTGTTTACTTCCAGCAAGCTTGATCATGGTTCAGGTCAACTCCCATGGTTTATAGTTGAATTCAGCATGTCCTAACTTCTTCATGTACTCTGTACCAGACCTCCACTTTCAGGATCAAATTCAAAGTAGATCTTTCTGTATTTTCTTGAAGCCAGGAATGTGAACAAGCCCCACTTGAAAGTCATGAAGTTCCACACGCAAACTATGAAGTTCCCTGTAATAACAACTCCTGTGAAAAAGAGAATCACAGATCAATTATTAAATGATAATCATTACTGCTTAGAAGAGGTACAAGATGATTGTCACTAGATTGACAAAATGCTTTTTCTTTCCTACATTTTCAGATCATAAAACATGTTTCACAAATGGGTCAAAGATTAATGATGGTATTACAAATGATTGGATAGTGATTTGATTTCTTTTCACAAGTCAGAGTTTACACCAAAATTAAGAGCAATTAACCCATTCAGCCCCTAGATCTCATAAGAAATTCTCCATAATGTCTGCTATACAATTCAAATAAAGTTAGTTCAGAGAATTTGGTTTGGGATCAACTAATAATATCCTAAAAGATATTTTCATTATTCTCATCACTTGTCTGCTTGAAATTATGTTGATAATGTAAGGAGAAATTCTGTCTTGGTCAGTCATGGGAGTTGAAGGTTCATATTGGCCTTCAATATTCTGTTGATCTGCTGGCAAAAAAGTGAAAAGTGGGATCTGGGAATAAATTGTCAACTAACCATCCCAAGTCATCCAATCCCCTATTGGGTGCAACAAGGTTATTACGTAGGAAGAAAAATTGGTTTACTGTATGGTGCAAGTTGCTTTGTGTGTTTGCAGACAAATACTATTAATACACGTATTATTATGCAAGTAATGTGAGTAGGCGCAAGCAAGAAGTGAAATGTAAGAAAGAAGGAGGAGAGAGAAAGGGCGGCAGTTATTTCATAAAATATTTAATCACTTTCACCAGAGTGTGGTGAGGGTCGCACAACAGAGCGAGGCTCCAAATTAAGTGCGCCCTATATCCCACCCATCCCACCCCAGGGGAGGACATCCATCACACAGTAATCTCGTGTGTGGGAAATTAACGTCTCCTACCCCAACCCTGCAGGAGACGGGACCTCCATTTATTCGTCCCTATCCGAGAAGACTAGAATATCTAACCATTTCTTGATGTTATAGAAAGGTAGCAAATTCTTCTCAATTATTTTAAGACCCTGAGTGTTGGTCCGGCCGGGGCTCGAACCCTCGACCTCCCGCACAACAGTCCAGCGCTCTATCCATTGAGCTAACCGGGAGGCGGTTAAATAGTTAAATAGTTATTGGATGATTTATTTCAGGCCTAATAATATACATAAAAAAAAATACTCCGTTCTGATTGGTTAAAATAAATGCAGTTTACAGGTAATTCAGTGCAGAAGAGAGTTAATTCAGTGCAGAAGAGGGTTAATTCAGTCCAAAGAAAGTAACAAATCAGACATTCTAATGGTCAATAATCAAACAAATTCACAGAATTACCAAACTCACTGAGCAATTTCTTGAACTGTTTGGCCGGACTTTGAACTTTTATGCACCTTAAAGATGTGAAAATGTCATTTTATCTTATTGTTTTGATCGTACACAGTTGTTTTGATCGTACACAGTTGTTTTGACCGAGTGCAAAATGTCACTTGTAGGGTTTGAATAAATTATTTTTGCACATGATGCCCGTGCTTTTCTCCTGCATAATTATGATAAGCTATCTCGTATTTTTTCATGTATATTACTATTACATAATCACACGACTTTTCACGTGCAATAAATAAGCATTGTAAATTTTTTCAAAGACCACAGATTGCACTCGTCCTATGGGCTCATGAAATTTTGTTAATCTTTGAAAAAATTTACTCGTGCTTGTCTATTCCAAATTGCACGAGAAAAATCATGTGATTACCTACACAAACGGGAAAATATTTGACTCTCGATCATGACGTACGGACCAAGTGCATGATCTCGAACCGAATAAAACGGCCTTCGGCCCTCCCACTTATTCCATAATGTTATTGTTGTATCAGAAATAAAAACATGGAGCAAATGCTGAACAAACTAGCACTCAAAAACAAAAAAAAGAGAAAATTCAGGCACTATTAAAAACATGAAACATGCACAGTACACCAACCTGTTTCGTGTCTTGCTATTCCAAAGGCAATGTTTATTATGAAGGCGATTATTCCAGAAATCATGCCACCCACACCGAAACTCTCGAAAATGGTAAATTTTCTTTTTGAAAAGAGCCTATTGACATCGCGATAAACAGCTACAGTCAAATACAGGAAAGTACTCGCAAATATTGCTGACACGCCAGCCCAACTAGCTGCGTTGTGGTTGTGGTAAATCGCAGCAAAAGCTACACACCCAGCGATTCCAACAAGAATACCAATAACTGCTCCAATTATCCGTAAAACTGTCTTGTACCTCTTGTATCCTATCGACACTCGCGTTAAAGTTTCACCCATACCGTCGTCACTGTCTCGAGAAAGACACTCTTTGGAAAATATCCTTATCACCAGGCACAGTTATTACCCATGTGGCTCTTCGCACCATGGTAGGGATAACGCTTATCCACGTAGTTCACGCAACATTTCAACGCGTGACGTAACGCAAACAAAAATATGGAAGCCGAGTATGATCTTTCACGATCAAGTGGAATTGTAGCTTGTTCCAAGCGTTGAGTAAGTCATACGGAGTGCCACAGCAAACAGTGCAATGGTAGCTTCAAAGTGAACAAAATGAAAGAGGATTTAGGTGTTCTATAAAGTCGATCACTCGGCCCTCTTATCATCACCTGAGGCATGAGGCTGTCTCAGAACAACCTCGTTCCCAGGGTCTCTCATCTTTCCGCCCCCACGTACGAGCGATATACAGAGGTACCCCTCTCTCGCTCGAGGGGGGCGGGAAGATAAGAGACCGTGGACACGAGGTTGGTTCGAGAACAGGTTTAAATGGTGCATTCGTTTCGAACTCAGTCTAATAAAGGAGGAGTAAGGATTGCAGTTTTAGTTTCATTAGCTTATCATACTTTGATAGTTTATTCGTTTGGCTGTGTAAGATTTAGAGGCAGTTTTGGCGTGAAAATAAGAGTGATATGAGATGGGGCGTTTTGCGTATTAAGCCTTGGCAGAAAGAGGGGGTGGGGTGGGGGGTGAAGGGTGAAGGGTGCTCACTGATTTTTAGGCTTCCTAGAGGAGGGCCTGTCTGAGGAGGGGAGCTTAATGTACACCGTAATGCGAAATACCAATTTCTTCTGAGCCAAGGCATCCCCAGCCTGAAAGGAGAAGAATCCCAGATTAGCGAATGTGTTTTCAGATGAACAAATCCCCTTCTACAATCGTCCCGAGAATGATTGTTCGGTGATGTTATGTTTCAGAAAAGAGAAGAAGGCACTAACTCGTTCAGCAGGAAAAACCAGGTTAAAAAAAAAGGAAAATGAAAATAGTTACTTATTACATCCATTTTGAAATCCCTGGTGGTCCCTATAATCTGATTGGCTCTAATTGGTGCGATTTATTCACAAATTGCACCATTTTTTGCGCTAAATCGCATCAT